GCTCGACTTCGCTACCTACGACGGCGCCGAGGACCCCCTCAACTGGCTCAACCAGTGTGAGCAATTCTTCCAGGGGCAATGCACGCTCGCATCGGAACGCACCTGGCTCGCCTTCATTTCATCTTCGGGGCGCCGCACAACGTGGTACTACGCCCTCAAGCAAGACGAGGGCGGCATGCCCCCATGGGAGCGATTTCGCGAGCTATGCCTCCTTCGCTTCGGGCCGCCGATACGCGGGAGCCGGCTGGCGGAACTCGGCCGCCTCCACTTCACCTCCACGGTGCAGGACTTCGCCGACCGCTTTCAGGCCCTGGCGTGCCACGCGCCCGGTGTAACGGCTCGCCAGTGGGCCGAGCTCTTCGTCGGCGGTCTGCCGGATCATATCCGCGTGGACATGGAGCTGGCGGGACCCCAGAACCTCCAGGCGACCATGTACTACGCACGCGCATTCGAGCGCCGCGTGGTGGCCATCCAGCAGGCATCACCGTCCCGGTCCGCTGGGCTGCCACCCAGGCCAGACGTTCCCGCGCAGGGTCGGCCTGCGCCGGTTTCCACGGCACCCGTCGCGGCGCGCCCATTCTGCCGGCTCACCTCGAGCGAGCAACTCGAGTGTCGCCGCCAAGGGTCGTGCTTCAACTGTGACGAGCCCTACATGCCCGGCCACGTCTGCCCGCGACTCTTCTACCTGGAGGGTGCGGACTACATTGAGGCTGCCGCTGCCGCCGCCGGCCTCGGCGACCTTCCCTCCCAAGCTGCCGTGGAGGTGTTTGGCGACGGTTGATCTCCTCGAGGAGTTCCGCAAGCGCTTCCCCGCCTTCCATCTCGAGGACGAGCTGTTTGTGCAGGCGGGGAGAAATGTTATGAGCGGCATATATTACACCCCAGGCAGTTAGGGGCCTGGCCCAGTTATCTTATCGTGTTAGGGGCTTAGCCCAATTATATCATTGGGAGGATTATATGAACTCATGTAAGGATCCGTTTTGAGATTAAGCAAAGAAGCAACCATAATTGCTCGGCTTCCTTAGGGAGCCGGGAGACCTAACCCTAGCCTCCTCCTCCCCTGCGCCATCTCCTTCCTGCCACAGCCGCCGCCTCCACCGCGCAGGGACGGCGCCCAGCCGCCGGCCGCTGCGCCCTCGCCCTCGTCCTCCTCCATCCTTCCCCTATAATCTCCACCCTAGAACCGGTAGAACCCTAGCTCCTAACAATCCTCCCTTGGGTTCCATAAATATATCTAGTTAGAATTGGCCCCAAGAAAAAACACAACAAATTATTTCGTCTTCTTTCATTTTGATTTTTAACCTAGTTTGTTCTTTGAGTGATGGATTTGGAGAGGAGTTGAGAAGACTGAAACATGTTTCATTTTGAAAGAGAATTAGCTTGCCATCATTCTAAAGATTTCTTGACGAATACCAAAAGCATTGCATTCATGGATTAAGATTACACATGCTTCTTTAGGTAGCAAAGTTTGGATGAACATGGCTTCTGGCTTGGTTGGGTTGTCGACCTTTGCATATTGTCTTGCACTAGAAGTTTAGAAAAATAATTGATTAGTAAATTTACCATTTCAAATGTGAAGTTCCCACTGTATTGTAAGGCGATGCTCTCTTTGCTAGTTATCATTCTTTCAAAGAGACTGGGCCTGGATTTTTTTTATCTCATCTGATACTGATTTGAGCATGGCCAAAAGATTTATATCTCTGTATATATGCATCTAGAATTCTAGTAGATGACACTCTGATCGCTTTATACCCCTGTGGACAGACACCTTGAGGCTAGGGAAATCAAATCCGGGTTGGTTGTCCACAATAGAAGCTTGTTCACATCAACAATTATGCTGGGGCGTGCATTCAACTGTGGAGGCTACACAAGATCGATAGAATCTCGACTAAAGAGAGAGAACGTAAATTGTGTTGTTTATGCATGTGAACATATATGCAAGTAACTTTATGCATTTTGTTTATTTTCAGCCTGGTTTGGAATAATGCAGGACGATTCTTTAGGGGAACATATGACACTCATTGCTGGATATTGTGTCTGTTAACATCGAAGTTCTTGTACTAGTTGTGCGGACGTGGACGCTTCTGCTTAGAACAGTAGTGTGTAAATTCCATGTGAATGTAGCTCCTTCATTAGTCAAAGTGATACCGTGACACTCTCGACTAAATTTTGCCAAGTTACTAAATTCAGGCCAACCAGTGTCCGTTTATCGGACAGATTTAGTAGAATTGATCTCCACAATTCCACAATAGTGGCATGTTTTTTCAACTTACTACGTTGTAAAGCCTATTACGTGGCGCATAGTAAGATCGAATCCCCCACGTATCCTTTAAGGGCAAAAGGAAGGTGCATTGAAGAACATGGGATGATTTGCTGCAACCAAAAAATAAAGGAGGTGTTGGTTTCAGAGATTTTCGTATATTTAACCAAGCTTTATTAGCCCGACAAGCTTGGAGATTGATCTCTAAGCCCAAAAGTCTATGTGCACAAATTTTGAAAGCAAGGTATTACCCGCATGGCAAGCTCGAGGATACTGTCTTCGTAGTAATGCATCCTCATCATGGCAAGCTATAAGTTATGGACTAGATCTTCTTAAAAAGGGTTTGATTTGGAGAGTGGGCAATGGAAGGAATATTCGAGTATGGCGTGATAATTGGATTCCTAGGCCTTATTCTTACAAGCCTGTCACTGTCCAAGGAAGGTGCAGAATATAAGATACATTTCAGAATTGCTTAATAAGAATGGCTCATGGAATCTGGCCTTGCTACAACAGTTTTTCTTGCCGTCTGATATTAATGAGATCATGAAAATCCGAGCGTCGCCACAACTGGAGGAGGATACGCTGGCATGAGGACCGGGCAAGTACGGTATTTTTTTCAGTAAAAAGCACATACAATTATGGCTTTGAGGAAGCACATAGAGACACTTCAACTGGGTCTAGTTCTCATCCGGATGGGAGTCGGTCTTGCTGGAAGTTCGTTTGGTCTTCGGATGTACCTCCATCAGTACGAAATTTTGCATGGTGAGCAGCAACAAATTCCTTACCAACCTGGCAGAATAAACACAAACAGGGGCTGGAAACTACTGATTTTTGTCCGGTTTGTGCGACTGAACAGAGGACTGTTTTCATACTTTATGCCGCTGCACTTTTGCACAGATGCTATGGGACTCTATGGCGCAGGTATGGACCCTCCCTTCTATAACTACCATGCAAAACAATGGGGACGAATGGCTTTTGCAGGCTCTTGAACCGTTGCCAGATATTGAGCGTTCAATGCTTTTGATGACACCCCGCAAAAAAAATGCTTTTGATGACATTATGGAGGGTGTAGCATATCCGCAATGAGGTTGTTCATCATAAACCACCGCCACCCATGGAAGTGTCTAGAACGTTCTTGATGAGTTCCTGGACTCTCTTATTGGTATTAAGATTGATCCATCCACCGACCCTAGTAAGTGTAAGGCAATTATAACATATGATATTGCTCATCGACCTTCACATGTGATAAGGAGTGAGGCAGGTCCTAAGTGGATTGCTCCCAAAGCTGGTTGAGTGAAGCTGAGTTCTGACGGTTCTTACGCGGAGGATGGTTCGGCAGGAGCCGGTATGTTGCTACGAGATGGCAAGGGGCCATCATTTTCACTTCGTGTAGACAGCTTTTTTCTTGTCGAGATGCTCTTGAAGCTGAACTATGTGCGTGCATGGAAGGTTTGTCTTTCGCTATTCAAAGAAGTGACCTGCCAGTGGAGGTCGAGATGGACTCAATTATTACAGGGAAATTGATCCAGGCAAATGAAGTTGATAGATCGATTTATTTGTCGCTTGTTAAGGAGATTAGATATTTTATGTCTCTTCGTGAATCATGTATTACTCATGTAAATCGTAGCCAAAATAAGGTTAGTGATAGCATAGCAAAGTTTGCTTGTTTAGAGGGCAGAACTATGACTTGGTTAGGCTCAGCCCCAGGTTGCTGTTGAGCTTGCTGCGATTGATTGTATGAACACTTTTGAGTGTGAGTAATTCATGATTTTATCCGCAAAAAGAAAGAAGAATCAGGTTTTGGATCCACTCTCTCAATGATATATATGTATCAAATCAGAAAATTATGTTGCTTCATTGTCATATGGTTGGCAGAGAAGACCGGGGCAAAAAAAAAACCCTGATAAGTGCCACACGCGTCGCACAAACACATGGCAGTTGTCAAGCATGACAACTTTTTTTCGGATGATAAGTTTATTTTTTTTTTTGGTTTTTTTCTTTTCCGGATGGAAACTTTAGTTATAAAAAAACGTCAGGGCTGGAGTGCTCCATGCCACCCGTGTGACACTTATCATTTAAGGAAAAAAAGAACTATTGACCGTATATATCACTTTGACTCCTTAACCGCTTGCACAATTACAACTGAGACCGAAGCGCCAATCGGCTAGATCAAGCGACATCGATCCCCTGCGAATGCAAAGCACTGTACCTTGTCCCTTTATTTAGAACACTTATTTTGAAATTATTATTTTTAGAGAGAACCATTTTGTGACCATGAGGTCACGGGTTCAAGTCCTGGAAACAGCCTCTTACAGAAATGTAGGGAAATGTTGCGTACAATAGACCCAAAGTGGTCGGACCCTTCCCCAGACCCTGCGCAAGCGGGAGCTACATGCACTGAGGCTGCCCTTTTTAGAAAGAACCATTTTCCTTTTTGGGTTTTTTAGGGGTTTTTCTTTTTTGGGCGAACCATTGTACTTGCCAGGCTAGGTTAGAACTCTCTATGGGCCTAACAATGCTAAAATAGCACACGAGAAGAAAAAAGTCGAACCTTCTCGAGAGAGCCCAGGCGGCCCAACAATGCTCTTGTACCTCGGTTTCTCCGAAATTCCCCGCAGTCAGCAGAAACCCTAGGACAGCTTCTCAAAAAGGAAACCCTGCGACAGGAGTCACAGGACTAGCGGCGGTGACCACTCTCCCCAGAAAGTTCCCAACCCCCCATTTCTCAGAGCAGGTTGCCATGTCGTCCGCAATCGCCGCCGCCGGCAAGCCATCGGGATCCGCCTCCGCCATCGTCGGCACCTCGGCGAGAGGGTATCATACCCTCAAGATCGACGGTTACTGGTGCACCAAGGTGACCCCCACGGGTGAGTTCCTCCAATCCAGCCAATTCTCCGTCGGCGGCCGTTGCTGGCGCATCAACTATTACCCCAATGGCATGGACTCCCAAACAGCGGGTTATATATCAATTTACCTCAAGCTCGATGAAATTGCAACCGAGGATGTGAAGGCGATGTTCACTATTGGTTTCGCCAAGGTGCCTGAGAAGCGACTGCCGTGGCCGTGGGCATGCACACCTGTAAGTGTTTTTGGTGGTGAGCAAATGCGGGGCTATCCGAAGTTCATCAAGAGGGAGGATTTGGAGAAGTCGGAGTATCTCAAGGACGATTCTTTCACAATCAGGTGTGAGATCGTCGTCGTCCAGGACATCTGCACCAAAGAGGCCAGAGCTCCAAAGTTTGTCACTGTGCCCCCACCTCAGCTGAACCAGCACCTCGGTGATCTCCTCAAGACCGGCAAGGGCGCCGACGTTGTGTTTGAGGTAGGCGGTGAGTCGATTGCGGCACACCGTTGCGTGCTTGCGTCCCGGTCGTCAGTCTTCAATGTGGAGCTCTTTGGTGCTATGAAAGAGGGCAACACAGCCAGTGTCATACGCATAGATGACATGGAGGCACAGGTGTTCAAGGCATTGCTCTACTTTGCCTACACTGATTCGTTGCTAGAGACAGAAAAAGAAGATGAAGAAGCCATGTACCCGCATCTGCTCGTTGCGGCCGACATGTATGATATGGAGAGGCTAAAGCTGATTTGTGAGGAAAAATTATGTGAGCACATCAAAATAGACTCTGTTCCGACCATCCTGGCACTTGCTGAGAAGTACCATTGCAATGGGCTGAAGAAGGCATGCTTTGATTTTCTCAGCTGCCCGGCACGTCGGAGCGCAGTCGTGTCCACTGATGGCTTCAAGCATTTGTATAAGAGCTTTCCTTCTCTTGTGATGGAGCTGATTTCCATGCCCTCGCCACCTTAGCTGAGTGATGCCAAGTATTTTAGCAATGATAGTTCATTGCATTTCTGCAGACCTACCAATAATAATCCAGCGGTTATTTTGTTTCATTTGAATGCTTTGGACAAGTAATGCAAGGCAGGCACTTGAACTCTTCTTTCCTCATGAGGTATCAAAATATAGTTTCATCTCTATTTTGATGTTTGGAGACTGCATCCATACTGGTCTATTTGTTATTCCAAGAATTACCTATTATTTCTTGCCCAATATATTTATAGTTTGCAATTACATATATACAATGATGTCGACTAATTAAATCTCTACTGGGGCACAACAAATACTTCCCATGCTGCTTTCTCCCTATGCATCAAATTAGTTAAGCCGAAAATATGCACATGCTTTTTTTGGCCCAATTATTTTTTGCACATGTTGGTAATGGGAAAAGATGAGTGAATATGTTTCCATGATGTTGGTTGGCAGAACCTGCAGAATATCGTGCAAGTGTCTGTACTTCCGAGTAGAGGTTGTGGTGATTTGGGAACAAGTAGCAACAGAATAGTTTATCGTTGCATAATTATACAGGAAGCTTTCCTTCTAGTTCTAGGATTGAGGATGTCGGCAATAGCAATTTTAGACATTGGAGATCAGATACCTCTTGAGATCTTGATTTTCTTGGCTTGAATTTTGGTACTTTTTCTTGTCTTGCCAAAAAATGCATGTAGTTCCTCCTATGTGTGTTTTGACTATTTTAAGATCAAGATTTTCATTCGGGTTCTATGTATGCAGTGGTGACTAAGGTCAATCTCAATAATAATTGGGATCATGGGATGCTATTTCATTTTCAAAATTGAAACACTAGCATTTCCTCTTTTAGTTATATCCAAGGGTACAATGCTGACAGTGGGGCTGCCAGTTAATATCTGTAATACCAGTGAATTTGCACATTCCTAAGTTTCACATGATTGGACATGCATTTCTTTATTGGGCAATGTAGAAATTTGCATCCTAACTTCAGGTCATCTCTGTCAAGTGAATAAAATAGGAGATAATTAAATTAACTTGCATCCTTATGGCTACTTATATCCGCCTTGAAACAATCTACTTTTAGTGGGCATGCATGTGTGTTGATGCCCCCAGCTGAAACCTTGCCTTTTTATTTTCGGTACTGTGAACCTATGTGTGCGTGTTTGTATCTGCGTCTCACCATTGGTGTTCTATATATAAATGGGGCAAGAACCTCGGTAATTAGCTTGCATCTCTTTATTGGGCAACGTAGAAATTTGCATCCTAACTTCAGCTCATTACTGTCAAGTGAATAAATAAGACGTAGTTAAACTGATTCTCGTGAAGCAGATATAGATTATTAGTGAAGTTCTGCCGCTGTTTGAGGCATGTTTCGACTATGTTTTCTTGTGTTTACGGAGCCGCTGCTGAAGGGTAAGAGGGTTTCCAGACGGCAAGCGGCAAAGCAGTGGAGGTGCCATGCGCTCATATTATTTTGCACTCCCTCTGTTCCAAAATATATGGTGTATTAATTTTCATATTATTTGATACTCCCCTGGTTCCAGAATATAAGGTCTATTAATATTTTTTGAAAAGTAAAAGTTTTTAAACTATTTTTTTCATGTTTGACCGAGCCTATTGGAAAATATCAACATCCAATACCAAATAAATATCATTTGATTGATCATGAAATATACTTTCATATTTTGTTTATTTACTATTGTAGATGTTAATATTTTTTATATAAACTTGATCGAACATGGAAATGTTCGACTTAAAGAAAAATTAATGTATATCTTATATTTTGGAGCAAAGGGAGTATAGTTCAGTTCTAGGGAAGAAGCTTTGGTGCTATGCCTTTTTTTAGAATTAGAGTGTTTCTTGGTTGCTGTGTATGTGAGGGGTCTATTAAACCTGCAAAAAGGATGTATATAGTTTACGAATCCAGTGATTAATCAGATGAAGTGTATAGGTATGTTATGCCACGAAACTAGAAAAAAAGAGATAAAATATAGTTTACTGAAGTTATATGTTCGAGAAGTTTAGACCATAGACCTACCTACAACATGAAATGTTTAGAAGTCAAAGCTAAACAAAGAAGCTCGTCCTTGCAAACTTGACTCTTATGCATCATATGACTCATCTCTTCTCTATAAGAATAAAAATGTTGTGTTCAAGTAATTTTATCTAAACTAGCATAGTGGCACACACAATTGCGCGGGCATCATCTTTATTTGTTCTCAAAGAAATGATATTGTAGTGCAATTTAGAGATGTCATGTCATATTATGCTGTTGTAATGAATATCATCGTGAAAGCTATTCTGTTTTACAGGATATATAGTATGTTAATTTTTTAGCTTAAAATGTACTATTTATTTTTTTACAATTTGTCCAATTTGGCCCCATCAAAGGTGAAAATAAGATACAATGAAGAGCATACAAATAGAAAACATAAACTTGGGAACACATATGTAAGGGAAAAGTTTTTGTTGTATGGCAACTATTTCGGCTTCCATGGCTACCTTGAAATGAAGAATTACAATTCACGTATAACATATGTGGCCTTCTGCATGCGTCTGAAAAGTGGATCAACAAAGAATTTGTTGTCTTCATCTTGTTGTTTTATCTCGCTTCTATCTCAGTTCCTCTAGTGTGCACATCTTTCTCTCGCTCGTATCTCAATTGCTCCTTTTTGCGAGCCCTGTCGTCTATGTTATGTCAACATTCACCATAAACCACCTTTTTTAGTGATGCTCACAACTTCACATCCCAATAATTTGGATAGTATTCCATGTCCCATAACACAATGAATGAAATATAATGTTATTATAACTACGAAGGCGCATTGAATAACAAGCAATCTATTTATTTGCGTTGAGCATTACTTAGGAACTACATGAGATAATCCATGTATAACCTATGTTCTTTGCCGGGTAGAAAACGTTCAAGGTCCCGTGGAGCTCGCTGCATTTGGATGGGGATGATTTATGTGATATTAGACCAATAATTAAGTGTGTCAATCAACTATAAGATAGTAGTCCATCTCCCATAACACAATAAATGAAATATAACGGTGTAACCAGAAAGGCATTGAATAACATGCAATCTGTTTATTTGTGTTGAGCATTAACTTGGAACTACATGAGATGAATCATGTAAAACCTATGTTCTTTACCAAATATATATAAATCCTTCGACGTCCCGTGGAGCACACTGCATCTAGAGGGAGATGATTTATGTGATACTATATCAAGCCACTTGAACATTTGTATGATCGGCTTTAAATCCACAGGGCCTACATATTTATTACACTAACTCCAATAACTCATACAAACTCATCACATCTGGCCTTTTCAATCAATTTTTTTTTGCATTACTTGGCTCTTACCATGCCCTCATATTGTGAGATATGGCAATTTGATTTTGTTATTCCATTGGACCTATTGATTTGTCCGTTTAACATTAAGAAAGATCCACATTTTTATTAGATTTTTTCTTACAAAATGTGTCACCTTTTCTGCTTTTTAATAGAATGGTTTGTGAGTGGCTGCTTTCTTCTTTCTTTGACAAATAGATAGAACAAATGCAACATGATGAGTTAGGTCGTCAACATTCTTTTTTGTGAAAAAAAATCAGTGACCTCCAATCTTTGTAAAGATCAATAAAGTAAACATTAGCGAGGTAGTGGCACTGCTAGGACCGAAGACATGATGTCAATGCATATCATATAATAATTTATATCACATGTAAATTTTGAAGTATTTGTTGTGTGCCCTCCTTATCTTTTCTTTGCTCGGGTGGACCTTGAATCTGTTGAAGAAGAAAGCATTATTATACTGACCATGGTGTTTCTCATAAGCCAAAGTTCGGTGGTGAATTAACCTTGAATAATATCAGTACTTGACTTGTGTTAGGTGTTGGATCTTTCCCCCAAAAGTTCCCGCATATCTCCAAATCGATCACTTTCAAACTCTACTTTGGCGACACACATTTGCATGAAAAGTTTAAATTATACACATTAGTGTTTTATTTTATTTCATATGAACCATGCAAGCTAAACAAACGTGTGCAATGATAGTTTGGAATGAGAATTATGTGTGGTTTTAGTGAAATATATAGAGCTTTTGGAAAGATGTCCGCCATAGTTAAAAGGTACTAGGCGCAGTATAAGAACTCCAAATCTTGACAGCCTCGACAATGCAAATGGAAATACATTAGTCCGTGGTCCTTCAAATAACTGACATGAACTACTTAAATTTGAAAGAGAAAATTGTTTACATCATCCCCAAATATCAGGTTTAGATGTAGATACCACTCTAGAATCTGCTAGATCTACAAACTGCAAAGAAGTGATCACTTATTTTCTAGTATTTTTCTATCTTTGTATAGGTAATGCAGAACCTCAAATTACATTTAAAGTACCGACTATTTAAAACCAAACAGGAAATTAGATGAAGTGAAACATTGAGTGTAAGCAAACAAATTCCTAAAGAGAGAATGGATCATGTTAAATATGTGGTATGTTTATCAGATAGATAGCAATACAAATTCTAGGAATCTTGACTTCCAGTTACTCTAGGAAAACTAATGCCATGTTGCAACTTGGAATGGAAAACGACAAACATTTCTTTCCTGTCAAACTTATAAGAGAAAGGTGTAACAACACCCGGGTGCCCCTACACCCTCATGAACAGTAAATTTGTAAAAAAAAATCAAAAAAAATGTGAAACTTTCAGGGATCAAAGATTTGATGTTCTTGCAAAGTTTCAGGAACAAATAACCTTCATGGAGCCCTCACAAAAAAAAAAGGAATTCACTGCTCAAAAGTGTACATAAACTTTGAACAATGATTTTGCTTGTTTAGGTGAGGGCTCCTCGATTGTTATTTTGAGCTGAAACTTTGCAAGATCATCGGAAGTTTGATTATGTTTCAAGTCCGAAAGTTTCAGATTTTTTTATTTTTTTTTCAATTTGTTTTGAATTTACTGTTCATAATGAGTGTAGGGGCACCCGGGTGCTG